CCTTGGGCAGACTTGCTCCTGCCTCATCGTCGGCTTTTCCCGAGCCCCCTCTCGCCGCTCACCTCAGTCCCCCCACATCACGATACTACAGCGATTTCATGTGGCCACCAGCAAATCGCTCCAGGCACCACCCCTTTTAAAACAACCTGGCAATAAAAGCCAGCCGATTGCCGTGCCCACGGCAGCCCCCGCACGGCCTCGCTGACTGCAATTTGGGCCGCAGAAGGGGGTCGCAGAGGGGCAGGGCTGGGACTCCACGGGCTCTCTCTGCCCCCGAGCATCCTGACCCCCTCCTCAGGATTGCTGAGAGCACGGGAACGCTGGGAGGCCTCCGGCTTGGCTCCGCAGGGCTCCCGGGGCAGCAGGCAGGCTGTTATCCATCTGCAGAAAGGCGATGGGGAAAAACCTCGTCCCCTCCCACTGGGCCATTGCTAATAATGAAGTGCGTGGGGGGAGAACAGAGCCGAGCGACCTCCCGAGTCACATTCAGGGCTATAAAAGGAAGCCGGGTCTCCAGCACGGCGCCTCTTCCACAAAAGCAACCGGAGGATGAGGGGGCTGCAAGCAGAGCTGAGAAATAGCTGCCAGGCAGCGGGAGAGGAGCCTTTAGCGCTGAGCGAAGTGCGAGGTGCACATATGCTCTCTGTTTCTGCACATCTACGTCTTCATGAAACCTGCCCAAAACTGTGTCATCTATTTTGAACGGTGCAGAGAAATACTTTGATCTGCTTCCGCCAGCCCTGGCTGTGGTTCAGGTACTGGTAAGTGGCTGGCATACAGGTTGTCAATCCCAAAACCTGTGCAATGGAGAGACAGGAGCAGGGCTGCTAGGCTGACATCTCCCTCATGCCGACCCCAGCAAGGGACATGATGGGTCCTGGGAACACCTCTGGAGCAGTGCACCATGTGTGCGAGCCTGCCTGCAATCCTCGTGCCAGATACCAGTGCTGCTTTGGGGCTGCCAGGCTGGAGAGGCCGCTGGGAGCGCGTCCCTGCGTCACCCTGGGGCAAGGAGAGGCCCCGAGCTGGGGAGGAAGACGTGCTGGGCCTGCCTGCGCCCTGGACGATGCAAAGCACCACGGCCTGATCCTCACTGCCCTGCACTGCCACCTTGACCCCTTCCTCGGGAGGCAGCCCCCCTCGCACCCCAGTCTGCAGGGCTCGACTCCTCACCCAGCTCTAGAGCAGCATGGAGACCAGACGGTGCCAGATCTCTCCAGACTCCCTGTCCCGCTGCCCCTACTCAGTACATGACCCCCACACTTGGCTCTGATGCTTTTGCCTCCCTCATCCCAGCGCTCCTCCCCGGAGATGCCACATCCCCAGGGCCACTCAGCTTCCCAGGATGGCGACAGTTTCTGTCTGGGGACGTCTGCAGGCACCCGGCAAAGCGACTGCTCCAGGAAGCACCAGGCAGGGGACAAGGACAGAAGGGGCCAGGAAACATGGAGGGCCTTGTGACAGCGCTTGTAAATGCCAGGGCACCGGCTGCTTGGCTGGGTCTGCCCAGCTTGAGGAGGCAGCAGCACCCAAAATGCATGCCAAGATCCCAGAGCCCGCACGGTACAGTCCCACACGTGGCACCGTCTGTGAGCCAGCCCAAGCACCCTCCGCTCTGGAGCAGCACAGCACCATTGCACCCAGCAGCCCGAGCAGGCGGCCAGGAGAGGATGGTGATCAAGGAGAGGAGAGGAGCCCGGCACTGGTGGGGGTCTCCCCTGAGAGTCAGTGGGCGTCTCTGCCACCCCTCGGCAGATCAGGGTGAGCGGCAGCATCCTAGGGGTCACAGCGCCTGTTCGCTCCCAGCATGAGCAGGCACGGACCAGGCGCTGCTCCATGGCCGCTGCTCCTGCCTGGGGCTCAAGAGCCCGGTGCCGAGCAGGGCACGTGGCCCCGCTGCCCAGCTCTGCACATCCCACTCCCCAGCAAAAGGTGCTGGTGTGGCCGATTTCTACCAAACCCAAACAACTGGGCCACAAAAATGATCCGAGGGCTGGAGCACCTCTCCTACGAGGCCAGGCTGAGGGAGCTGGGGTTGTTCAGCCTGGAGAAGAGAAGGCTGCGAGGAGACCTTAGTGCAGCCTTCAGTACTTAAAGGGGGCCTACAGGAAAGATGGGGACAATCTTTTTAGCCAGGTCTGTTGTGACAGGACAAGGAGTAATGGATTTAAACTAAAGGAGGGTAGATTTAGACTGGATATAAGGAAGAAATTTTTTACAATGAGGGTGGTGAAGCACTGGCACAGGTTGCCAAGAGAGGTGGTGGAGGCCCCATCCCTGGAAACATTCAAGGTCAGGGTGGACGGGACTCTGAGCAACCTGGTCTGGTTAAAGCTGTCCCTGCTCACTGCAGGGGGGTTGGGCTGGACAATCTCTAAAGGTCCCTTCAACCCAAAGCATTCTACGAACTGGCAACCCCCAGGGCCCTTCCTCAGCTGTTGGGACCTTCCCAGCTTCCCCACCTCCTGATCCGGCACTGCAGAGCACCCAGGCACATTCCCAGCAGCCAGAGGACATTCACCTCCTCCTCCTCCTGTCTCCTGTCCCAGGGCACTCCCCCAGCACGCAGTGTCAGTGCTTCGGCCACCTCCCACGGGCTGCTCTTGCTCTGACAGCAGCAGGTCCCCAGGTCACCGCACCGGTTGGGCTCCTGGGGACCTGGGGTTTGCAGGGTGCATTGCCCGGACCACCTCCTGCTCACCAGCACCCCAATGCTGACACAGCCCTTTGCCCGGGCACCTTCCCTGAGCCGTTCACTGACCCAGTCAAGCCACATCCACAGTGGGGGGCTTGACCCACAGCAGAGCCCTTGCAGGCCCTGCCAGCACCAGGGGACCAGCGCTGTGATACCTTCAGCTACTAAATACCCCCCGCTCTGCTGGAAGGGGCAGCCCAGGTCCTCGTCCTGCCACACCATGGGAGAAACTGGCCTGGTGGCAAGGCAGGGCCGGGCAGCTAGAGCAAGCAGGTGAGACCTGCAGCCTGGGCCCCGCACAGCCTTGCCTCTCCCTCATCAAGCCAAACCCTCCTGCTCCCACCTCGAGGAGAGCATCCCAGCCCCTACCTTGCCCAAGGAAACTCTTCTTCCCCTCAACTCAGGCGGGTTATTCCTAATTCCTGCACTTCACCCACACCACTGCCCCGGCTCCACCAGCTCTCTGGTGAGCCTGGCTGCCAAGTCTTTCCCTGGACACCTCATGCAGGGCCAGAGCAGATCCCAGTTCTCCTCAGCGCTGCTGGGGGGACATCAGGGCTCTCCAACACCTCCTGAAAAAGGGTGAGGCAGCACATGCCACAAAAAGCAGGCAAGGAAGGGAGCAGCTCGGCCAAAACTCTCCTCCTTACTCCACAGAGAGAGAAGTCCTGGGCTACCTCAACTGCTGACATCCAGCAGAGCTGCAGATGCTGGGGCTTGGGGCACGGCTCAACCACAACCGCTTCCTGCAACAAAGCGACCACAGCACAGCCCTGGGGGTACGTGGCAGCTGAAAGACAGGCACCGTCTCACTTGGAACCTGTTTCAGACTGGCTTGGCCTCCAAACCAGAGCAGATCGCCTGTCCAGACAGAGTGTAGCTGGGGCCAAGCCAGAAACGGGTACACTGAAGCCAGTAAGGTGAAGGGAGCAGGACAAAGGAGTGGCACGGCGTGGCCCAGGGCATTTACAACTCACAGGTGCCCTGATAGTTCTTTATTGTCCTCTGAGCTCAGTGGCAGCTCAGCCATGTCCAGCGCAGGAAAACTGCCTCCTGCACCTGCCTGGGGAGGCAGCACCAGTGTCCGCAGCAACGCCACAGAGTTCCGCTCTCAGCCTCTTCTACTGGTCCCAGCAAAGCCCAGTTCCCAGCCCTTTCTGTTCCTCTCCGTCTTGCCAGCACCGCCATGCTTGTCTGCTGCAAAAATCCCACCTGCTCCACTCCAAGCAGCTTGGCGGCAGCCCCGGCATCTCGGCACAAGCACAGCGCACACGACTGGCACACGGGAGACGGGCTCAGCCAAACATGCACCAGGGGGTCTCGCTTGTGTCACAGTCCAGCAAGATATTAAGGACGGTGCAAGGGGCTCCTGCCACACTCAGAGCTGTCCGTGACTCGATCCGGTACCTCACGTTGTTCAGACCTCCCTCCCGATCCACCTTAAACTGTTCCTGAGGAAGAGAAAGACCACTCAGCTCGCGCTGGCTTCCAGCAGAGGGGGAAGCACCCAGTGCCCGGGGAGGGAGCACAGAGCTGGCAGGGGAGGACACGACAAAGGAGGGCTCAGAGCATGTGGTGATCACAACTCGAATCTCCCGTGGTTCCCCTCAACCACACAGAGGCCTCACCTGCTTCTGCGCAGCGATGCGCTTTTGGTCTCTCTTCCTCCAGGCTGGGTCATGCAGGTGCTGGAAAGTCTCGTATCCAGTCGTGATTCCAGAAGGACGGCGAACCTGGAAGGAGAGCAAAGCTTCTGTAAAGCTACTGGAAAACCTGCTGTGCCTGCTACTGGAATGGGGAGTGCAGAAGGGCTGCCTTCCCTGGGTCCTGACCTGGGCAGCTATGGCCAGGGGCCAGGTGAGGAGACAAAAAAGGGCAATTTCAACCTAGGAGGCCATGGAGCACGCCTTACCTGGAGACCGGCTCCTTTGATACGTCGATAAAACTCGTCGTCCTCCCGTCCCCAGCCCCAGAAGCGGTTGGACATGCCGTTGCACTGAAATGAGAGGGACATCGTACCGGCCAAGGTCTGGTCCAGCACAACTCCACGTGCCGCAGAGGAGCAGACGCCAGCGTCACAAGCCCTGAGCACCAGCGCAGCCTCCCCTCTCCTGCCCCCCACCAGCTCATGCCGCAGGCTCTGTCCCCAAACCATTTTGACTCCTTTCCCGACTTCCCAAGCATGGAGCACAAAATGTACAACTGTTCGCCAAGACAATGTCATAGCCCCTGCCCCAAACTGGCTGGGATGTCCCACCCACTCACTCACCATCTCATAGTGCTGCTTGGTGAGCAGCAGGATGCCACCCACGTAGGTCTTATAGTGGTAGAGCGGGTGCAGCTCTGGGGATGCCACATGGAAGGGCCCTGTCTCTGGGAAGCCGTAGTCCAGCTGCTCGTTGAGCGGCAGGAGATCGACATCATGCATCGCAATGTAGTCAGTGTCGTTGCCACTCTCCAGGAAGCCCACGTTGATTAGGGACGCCCTGTTAAACCTGTCACAAGACCAGGGACTCAGTGCCATGCACAGCAGCCACTGTCCCTTCACGTCCATCTCCCATGCTCCTCAACGCTAAATGTTCAACTGGTCCCCAAAGAGGGACACACACAGACACAGCATTCCCTGGCTTCACAGCGCCAGGTGCCACAGCTGCCCGTCCTGAAACTGCACCCCTGCTTCTCCCTACGCAGGCAGCACACGCTGAGCACGATTGCAGTGCGCAGGGGTTTGGCCACTGCAGACAGCAAGGGGCTACAGCAAACCCCATCCTGCCCGAGGCCGGCCTGGGAGCTGCACAGCACCGGCTGGAGCTGCACGCAGATACCGGACAGCAAGCAGGGGGTGAGTGACTACATTTCCAAACACCCCACGGTATTTCTTTCAATTTCAGCACTTCCAGATGTTTGTAGCCATGGCCCTGCAACACTGAGGAGAAAGCTGAAATATCTGGGGGTAGATAATTTTCTTCTTATTTAGGAAGAAAGAAGCAAAATACCGCTTTGTCCTTCTATAAGCTCTTGAGTAAATTCAGGGAGAGCATCACACGCCAGCCCTGACTCCCCACTGCCCAGGCCCTATGCTTCTCCACACTGCCAGAGGCAAGCAAGAGACCCTCTCAGCGCTCACGGCGGGGACAGAGTTTCGGAGAAGTGTCCCCTCACTGCCTTTGCTCGCTGCGGCGAGGGGAGACGCTACCTGAAATGATCCACCTGGTTGAGGATGAAGATGTGATGGCGGATCCTCTTCTTGCTCAGAAAGCGGTGCATGTAGGGCACGAAGGCCAGCAGTTCCTCGAAGCGCTCCCGGAAAGGGACGAGCAGCGCCAGGCGGTGGGGACCCCACGACGGCTCGTCCTCCG